TAAAAACCCATTTTCCAACACTATAAAAGCACTTGCTACATTGCACCCCRTTTATTAATTAAGGCTTTGCCATCAGCCATAAAAAACACACTTTTGTGCTACTTTGCCTACTGGATGATGCCAGACAAGTTGCTCCCCACGCCTGATTTTCTTATCCGTAAAACCAAGAAAGAAAAATAAAAATAATCAAACCAACAGCTTCTGCAACACATTCAAGACACAGCATTTTTCTTTTTGTCTGTAATTAAGTAATGTGATCTGTGAGAACAAGCCATTTCTTCTAATTAACATTTACCTTTACCTTGGCATGAAAAGAGGCCACAGCTTACCTAGAGAGTGATACTGTCTGCACACCCCAAAGCACACTGGATTGTTACCTGCCTTATCATGGTTCAAGTGGGAGCAATTCTATTTTTGCCACGTACTCATGGAAAAGTTCTGCCTGTGAACACAAGTGTCAAAAACACAGTTCCTAGGTAAGAATGCTTGGCACAAGGATTCTTCCTTTGTCCTTCAGATGAGAGGCACACGGTGCCAGGAGTTACAAGGAACCCTGCAACACCTTCTGCGCTTTTCCTCTTGCTTTATCTCCAGTATCATCTCTTCGTGTTCCTGTCTCTTATTTCCAATTAGATCCATCCCTCGTTTTCAGGTTAATTGATATCTCCATAAGTTAACTCCCTGTTGGCCATGTTCTGTCAGGGGGGGTGTTTTAAATAAATACACGAAGCAGCTGCAGGGCATCTGCACAAAGCCAGGACACAGCCCCTCCAAAAATCCCCTGCTGATAATTTTACCACTCCTACCTATTATGCCTTCTCTGGGCAGCACCTTTTTAATCCAGTAACTGCCTTATTAGCCTGACAGAATGCACATGAGCATTAGGAATGCAAAAACATCGCAGGTGGAAGAGACCTGAATTGTTAGCTAAGGTGACCTCACATTCCCTTCCCCTGAGGAGAATCCTGCSAGGGGTGCAGCTCCAGAGAGGCTGTTCTGACCTCTCGGTGCAATTTCTAATTTGGTCTACCAAGGATTTTTCAATCAACTTGACCGTGAGAAGTCAGTGCTCAAAAATAAGTCCACTGCTAAAGAGATGCGAATCGAGTGACTTAAAACTTATTTGGGGAAGCAGAGAGAAAAGAGATGCAACAGCCGTGAGGGGAGAGGATGGAAACTGAGGTGTAGTTAGCTGTTCCCCAATGAAGCATCTGCAGGAGGGTGAGATGGCTTCTTCTTCCTTTGTTTAGGGCTGTGCAGTCATTGCTGCAGCCAACACTTMTCATAGATCACTTTTACTGCTGCTCCCTGACTTGTGCCCGGCTGCTGCAGCTTTTAGCTCAAACCCAAGGYACCAGTGAGCTATTGATCACCTCAATATCCGTTCAGTGAAACCCAGCACAGTCAATTCCTTTGGTTTATTTTTAGCTGTATTATTTCCCTGGGGGTTTACTGCCTGTGGAAACAACACAGAGAAGGKGTATTGATAAATACCTATACCTTCTTTGTTTTCTTCTTTAAATGCAATCTATTTTTATCAAYGCTTTGGAGAACGCCAAGTTAATGATTTAATGGCAGAGGACAATCCTGCAGGATGTATGCAGCGCTGTGATCCCTTAAGTTAGCATAGAAAACAACTATAATAARGCATAGGAAATGAGTAATTCTATCAAAGGAAAAAAAAAAGGAAGAGTGGCACTGCTAGTAAACTTCCTATATACATCTTCCAAATATTGATTGTACCTTACTCCTTCAATGTCTTACTGTTAACTAATCAGACCCTTGAAAGAAAATCATTAGTCTACCAAGAAGTCTCACTAATAAATACTTTGCTGTCATTTGCARAGCCATCCCTTCTTGCTCCCTGGAATAAAAAGAGATTTTTCTCCTCTTTCTCATGAAAGGGTCCCTAATCCAGCCTTCTGCTGCAGTGATTTCTTCTTCCATGTAACAGAAACAAACATGCAGAGGAAGAACATCCCATAATTTATGTGGGTAAAAAAAAACAAAAAACAAAAAACAAACAAACAACAAAAAAAAGGCCAGACAGAATGAGGAAATAACAAAATTCAGAGCCATCGGAATTCACAAATGTATCTGAAATACAAAGTTAAATGCAAAATCAAGGTCTGGTTTCGTGCTWTAAAAGGCTTTGTCACGGGTTAAAATTTCAGAAGAGCCACTTCAACTTTTACCTGATTATGTATCTGGCACAGAGCACTGCAGTCAGCGTGGCTACACTGATGTTAAGCCCGGGGTAAGTGAGAAGACCAAGATCAAGCACTTGGGAACAACAGGACTTTATTATGGCACTGCCTCAGCTATATTATTGCTTGGCTAGAAAAGCTCAGTTAGCCCTAGATCTGTGCTCCATTCATTGCCCACTTGCAGTTTAAYACCTCATTTCATTGCCTGAGTGCTTCAGAAAGGTAACAAATATCCACAAGGAGAATACTTGTGGATGTAGCGCAAGACCACCATAAAGGTGGTAAAAAAATTGCTAATCTCACTGTCAGATTGCARTGAAAGCAACGGAATGATGGAGTCAGCACAAGTTTGATCTTGGTACAACCRCCCTTGAAAAATGCATGAAGTCTGGCACACGCAGTCAGCTTTTGTCATTCTCAGATCACTTCTGAAAGTCCCAAGTTCTCTGTTGAGCTAGACTGAGAATAAAGGAAATCAGAAAGCTCTCCCGCACCAAGTCTCTCTTTCTGCTCTTATCTGTGGTTATGTCCTTCYTCCCTGCTTAGGCATTCACAGAAGTCTGGTGTCTTCAAAAATCTTTGCTGGATTTGAAATTCAATGTCAGGGCTAATTTRCCTTCCTTGGCATTGCCTAGCTAAGAAAATATTATTTAGGAAGAGACATATTTTCCTTGGGCCTGATTCTAAGATTCTTTTGCTAACTACTACCTGTCCTTGTGAAAGACACAGACTCAACAAACTGATGATTTCAGCAGCTGTCCATGAATTCCAGCAGATACACTTAACTCAAGGCTCTGACAAATGGGTCTACAAAAGCAGCTACACACAACTTCTACCACCATAAACTGGAGGAGTTTTTTTGGTAGGAACTCCCAAAAATCAACACTTCATCTCTGGAGGCATTTCTTTCACTCTCAATGAACAAAACCAAAAGCAGGCATTCCTGCTTGCAGCCAACAGTAACAGATTTTCCTGCTTGGGAAAAATGTGTACCCCACAAGAGCTGTTCAAAAGCAGGTGCAGCTTTTTGTACCTGTGACATCCCTTGCCAACTGGCAGAAAAGGCACAGAGGCACTTTTCATTTCCAGAGATTTCACACGAGGTAGGGGGTGAAAATTTGTTTTGTTTCATGCACCCACTCAAGCAGAGGACTGATCCATCAGAGAACTTCCAACTCCCTTCACACAATTATTGAAAGCAGCTTGAATCTGACTGTTCTGTTAAATGGGTTAGTCTCAAGTGATATTCCTGGAACAAAAGCCTTTGAGTAAACAGCACACTTTTCCTCTCAAGTACATTCTATGATTATAAAAACCACACTGTTTATTATTTTTACAACCATAACAGCCAGTGTTAGCAGGTGCCTCCAAAAAGGAGATAAAACACTTTTTCCTATGCTAGTCTCAATATTCATATTATCAAATTACATTTTTCCAAGACCTTTGCATATTATTACTAGAATYTATTTATAGATCAAACGAGCTAAACTTTAAAGAGCTGCAAAGGGGGTTAATTTGTGATCGAGAAGTACGTCCCTTCCTTTCCAACGCCAGCTGCTCTCACACCGAGCTTTCAGTCACGGTCTGCGCTCGCAAACCGGGCAATTACTATTTTAAGAAACGGTAAGTTCTTAAAATAATTAACACTTCTTGAGCGCTTCGCTCCTCACGCTGTACGTAATGCAAGGGGAGAGAAACTTCTAACAGCTCTGGTGCGGCCGCATCCCGCAAACCAGCGGTCCCTTCCCCGCAGTGAACCCGCGCCGGGGCTCCCGTCCCTGGCTCCCCGGAGCTCCCATGGCCCCGGTCCCTGCCGTCCCTCGGTTCCCCGGAGCTCTCGCAGCCCCATCCCTGCCATCCCTCGGTTCCCCGGATCTCTCGCAGCCCCATCCCTGCCATCCCTCGGTTCCCCGGGGCTCCCGCAGCCCCATCCCTGCCGTCCCTTGGCTCCATCCCTGCCATTCCTCGGGGCCTCCCCGCAGCAGCCGCCGCTCCCCGGCGCGGCCCCTCCTCGCCGGCCGGCGGCCCCGGGCTCCGGTCCAGCCCCGCGGATCATCGTACCCGGGCCGTGCCCGAGCTCCTTGCCGGGAGGGACACCYCGGGAGCGCGGGGGAGCCGGGCAGCCCGGCGTGTTCTGGGTTACGCGATGCTCGGCGCAAAGAAGCGCTCCGAGACCGCTGGGGAATCGCTTTCCCACTTCGCTCAAGTTTCCAGCACTTTCTGCCCACAGCTGCCGCGCTGTCGGGTCAGAGGGCTGTATTACCCCGAGGAACGGGTTATATTCTCCAAAATGYGGAGAATCTGAGCCGAAAGGGTCATTTCTCAGGGCCCCGGTAAAACCCCGGCCGCTCTCCCCTCCGCGCCTCTCCTTCCATGGACATATTTGGACTGAGATGTGGCTTTTCCCCGAGCGTGCTTCGGMACAAAACCGGAGCGGCAGCTGCCGGGAGAGTTTGGAACCAAGGAAAAGAAAAAGAGGAAAGCAAAAAAAAAGTCGGAGCCCGTGCTGGATCCCTCCCTTTTTTAAGGCATTCAATGTCTGGGCAGTTCACAGCTGAAAAATAAATCAGGTTCGCCTCTCCCCTGGCAGGCCGGGCGGACTTAACCAACTTTAAATAAACATCACAGGGCCGAGGTATCAAATGATTTAATGCACAAAAAAGGGACTGCAGTGCGTCAGAGACAAAAGGCAGCTCCTGGCCTCACCGCATCGCCATGCGCGGGGGGAGCGCGGCCCCCGACCCCCCTCGCCCCGCCGGGACACCCGGCCCGGGCAGCCCCCGCCCGCCCTACCTGCGGCGCCGCTCGCAGSCGCGGGTCGCTCCAGGTCGTGGTGCGGCTGTTGTGATCCACGAAGAAGGGCCAGCCGGTCTGCGGGTCGATCTTGATCTCCCAGCCGGGGGGCAGCGGCTCGGCGCTGCCCTCCATCTGCGCGGCGGCGCTCATGGCGGGGCCGGGCGCGCCGAGCCGGGGCAGTGCGGGCGGGGTCCGGCGCCGGCCGCTTTATCCGCCGCGGGGCCGGGGGGCGGGGGCGCGGGGCTGGAACTGTCTGGAAACGGCGGCGAGGGGGGCGGCGGCGGGGGAGGGACGAGGGGCGGGACGCGGAGGAGGAGGGCGGGGGACGGCCGAGGAGCTGCCGGCTGGAAACTTCTGGCCGTGTCCAGCGCCGCCCGGCAGACCCCCGGGGTACCGGGAAGGGCTCGCTGGGAACGCCCCGAGAGCCGCGGGCGGGTCCCGATCCCGTGGGCGGCCCCGGGGCGGTGTGGCCGGCTCCGGGCACCGCGGGGTGAATGGAGCAGCCGGAGCTGCCGTCCTGCCCCGGCCGGTCCCTGCCGCACCCCCGAGCCCGTCCTTGGGCAGCGCGCAGCCTTCCGGCACTCTCGCAAGGCGACTCCGACCTACTGCCCAGTGCAGGGAGCGAAAGCTCAAAGCTCCTCCCCACAGCTCTCTGCCCCGTGACTGATAACTTGAGGTTATAGTTGAACAACAAAAATAATGCTGCTCAATTGAGGGTGTGAGCAGGCGTTGTTTTCCAGATTCAGCTCGCTCGAACTTTCCCAGCACTTTGCAAGTGCTTGTCTCAGTCCTCGGTTTCACTCAGAAATACACCTGAAGGCAAAGCGTGTGTCTGTGAGGTTTAGAACAGTGGCTTTCTCATGGACACTCTATCAGCATGTCATGCACTCGGTGGGTTTGGTTTGAGGTAACTGTGCTTCACAATTACACCACTTGTAGTCATCTGACAGTCACAGGAGCAGCCACAGATGCCTGTTGATGGTTACTCCAAGTAGAAGAGTGAATGCACACTGTCCCTCAAATGCAGAAGTTACCTTCTGCAAAGCTGTTTGCTTCAAGGAATTCAACGTGTAAATTCCTCTGAGATAGGTGCTCTTCACTGAGGTGTCTCTTATTTCAAAAAAACCTCTGCTTYTTCACACCCCTGAGCGCAGCCAGGATCTCCTCCTGCTCGAGRAAGGATCAAAGATCTCCTGATACTGCTTGACACCACTGATTGTCATTCATCTTTTGACAGTGGGTCTTGTTTATCACACTGACAAACCAAATAATTGCTGATACTTGCTCCTTCATTCCTGCGGCTCTTCCATCCTTCGTGTCCCTTGCTCTCAGAACCACACTGCTCCATCACAGACCCATTTTTCTGTCCTCACTGTAAGTGCCTTAGACTCACTCCTAAGTATCATAAACGGATCGTTTTATCCCCAGAGCATTTACCCTCAGACGTCTGTATTGCCGTCACCTTTTCTGAGTGCCCATASCTTGCTCATCTCACATCAGTCCTGGACAGGTTTCCCAGCTCTGCTGCCTCTCATGCTCTCTCAGCAGCACAAAAGCCCTGCTCAGCCTCACCAATGTCAGCAGTAGCCTCCAAAGGCGTAATATCAGCGATTTATTCTGCTTCCAGTCTGCAGAGGAATTTCACTCTCAGTTTTGCAACAGAAAGGCACACTTAGACCATATGTTCCCTGTAGCATATGCCAGTCTCTTCCAAATCAACAAAAGCAGCTGATTCAGACACAGAGGACACAGATGTTAAAAAGGTCCTGCAGGAAAATTACTCTTGTAAGTTGAGGAAGTGATACAGATGGGGTTTGTAGCTGAGAAAATGTAAACAGAGGCGTGAAGAATGGGGGAGGGGGTCTTTTTTCCCTGCAGCTGGCAACCATGTACTCAGCAGAGCTAAAGAATAAGGTCAGCAAGTGGGTGAAAAATTAATAAAAGGAAATTTCAAAGGCATGTCTAACTTAAGTCAGACATTTTTGTGGGGGCATACCCTGCKAAGAAACAGAGGGGACTGCATTTCACAGAAATTATCATGGGCRAGCGATTCAGGATTCACTTGAGCTGCTGCAGGGTCAACAAGCATCCAGCTGGAGAGAGAACAGTCTGGGCTGACAAGGAAAAGCCTTTCAGTGATTGAATTAAGTTGGCAAGACATCATGATTTTTCTGTTAATTAAATTGTCGTTCCTGACAGGTAGGATTTAGCCTGGTTTCCTATGCAGGTGAAAGTGTTGCCAGTGAGGCAGGATACACAGGGTGTCTGTACAGGGATTCACTGTTTTCTCCCTCATTCTGGGATGTCACCRGGCCATAGATGTGACCCTGAGGCAACGTGGCTGGTTTATGTTGTCATCAGTCATCTTTCAGATCAGAGTGATTTATGAAAATGTGCATGCAGGGAATACTGCCAAGCAAAAATCTTGGCTTCAGGAAAATCCGTTATTAGGATAAGTGAGTCTCTGTAGTGTCTGGCTAATCTCAGATGAGACTCCAGGCTCAAGGTCTACATGTTCTATTTCAGAAGGGGAAACAATCAAGAAGCATTTGCTACTTTTTGTGTTCTTCATGGAAGTGCAAACACAGAACTCCTGACTCATCCAGGTWCCTATCTGCACAGTGCTTCCCACACCCAGGAATACCAAACTAAATATTTGCTCCAGGGTGTTCCACTACAACTGGAAACTGTGTAATTGTAGTTAGGCAGAGTTGATAACAGGGTCTTCYGTGTTTCCTTGTCATGAACATGGGCTGCACGAAGCTCACTCCCAGCTGCAGGATGGCTCTAGCTCAGCTTGTAAAGCGCAGCACTGTTGTAATAGAATTGTTATTCACGGTATTAATCAAGCAGATATCTCTGGTGTGTCAGGAAACAACACCTCTTGCAGTAAGATGAARTTGGCTTTCTGCCTCCTGAGGAGCTGCAGCACTTTCACAGGTCACCTGAACAGAAAAGGCTCTGTTAACCACGACTGGGAGTTCAAATGTTTGTTCTGGACCAGGTGTTGCAGCAATCTGCCATCGATGAACCTGGTAAGGGACGTGTCTGGCACGTGTCGAGTGCTGTGTTCCGAAGCAGCCTCCAGTCCAAGTTCTCTGCTGGCTGCATTTAAGATTGAGTCATATGAATGCTGTTAATAAATKCAGCAAACACAGACTTTCCTAATCTTCAGATTCGAGAGACATGATGAATTTGACCAGCATGATTTCCATCACTCAATGTTTYGTCCAGCCCAGGTCCTCACTGATTGTATTTTGAATATCCCGCTCCAGGTGTTTGAACCTTTTCATCTAAAAGCAAAAAGATCTCARTTATGAATTATTACACCCAGAGCTGTACATGTTTGGCTCCATAGTTTGTTCAGAGTCCTGAAATTGTTTGTTGGGCCACTGGTACAACTGGGGCCTGCCTTTCAGAAAAAGATGCAAAATGATTGATAATCTTGTCGTGATCTCCCACTTATGCGACAGAACACTTCWGACTTGATTTCCAGTGTTTGGTGCATGATTTAGTGTAACTGATGGTGAAGCTGAAGTAGGTGGATGAAGCCCTCCACAAATGGTCTGATCTCACTCTGACTGCTACATGCTGCAGACATTGTTTAGCTCTTAGAGCTTGATCATGCCATCTGCTTATTGGAGTCACAGTAACAGGCAAGTCATTTGATAGATAAATATATTTCCTATGAACTTCAAAAGAAAATTCAAAATATTAATAAGAAAATAGAGTCCTAATTGTACTGTTTAAACGGRAAAAAAAGCCTTTTAACATACATGTTGCAATTACACTGCAACTACACTAAAGCTGGGCATTCACAAAGCTCATACTCMGATTTCCAAATTTCAGATTTTTGGAACCTAAAAAAGATTGCAGGAGCTAATTTCAGTACAATTTCTGTTTTCTTTTCCCTTTTTATTTCCACCTGGAATGGAATGGAATTTGTCATAAATCAGGGAGCAAATCTGGCTGTGAACACAGCAAAAGAAGCCTTCATTTCAGTGATCTGTATGCAGCAAAAGTAAAATTCAATTCCAAACRTAGGCAGCAGAAGACAACTTGAACGTTTAGAGCTAGTCACTCTTAATATGTCATGAGTGGCATATGTAAGGTAAATTAATATTTCCAAAACAGGCATTATTGGCTGCTCACTCCCTGTTCTTCCAGTGTCTGTCACACAGCAGCCTGCAAAGAGGCAGCTCTTTGTTTTAGGAGGTGTCTGGGCATATCCAGGGAGCAGAACTCTGTCTTGCTGAGGAATCAGGAGGGTGAAGGAGAGTCAGTCTGAGCTGGCTGCTGTAACTGCCGCAGAGGCCAGCACCCATCAGAGTTGAGAGGCTCCCACCTAGTGGATGCTCTGCCCTGCTGTACTCCGGGCTGCCGTGACCCAAATGTGCTTTGGAACATCTGGGCTATTTTTCCAGAGTTTACGGGCAAATCTCGGTCCAAAGCAGAATCATTTCCGGAGCTGAGGGTGCCCAACAGCAGACATAGTACAGAGTCTGGAAAAAACAACTGAAAAGGGAGTTAAAAAACCCTTTTTCATGAGCAAATTGATCCTTTTATGAGCAGAATATGGCACACGTGGAGGGAGAAGTATTTCTCCAGTTTCTATGGGTTCTGCAGCTGATTTAAKTATATCAGTGCTCTGTCCCTAATCATTCCTTCAAAATATTTTTATTCCCTCGAATCGAAGAAGCAGATGTAGAGCTGATAGCATCTCTGACTCTCTCCCTGGCACAGTGGAGTCTCAAAGGAGGCAACAGACTGAAAGGAAAGAGAAACAAACGCATGTCCTTTAGTCTCTGCTCCTTCTGGCTCTCCTTGGAGCAGCATCTGCCTGGGAATTCAGCTTTGGAAGTGATAGYATTTCCTAGCCATACAAAGAGCTCTTTGGGCCCACGCCAGGAATGCAACCYCTCCACTTCTTCAGAGTGTAGTTGGCTGCCCAAGGCTGGCTCGCTGATAAGAGCAGTGRAGAAGCGTTGGGAGAAGCATTAGTGCCTCCCCTCCTTCCTCCTGGAGCTGTTTCCAGCTGAGCTCTCTCCCCAGGCCCCCTCCAAAGATATCCCACAGCTGCAGTGCCATGATTGCTGTTTGCCTACCTAGGAAATCCATCACTGGGGCTGCTGTACCAGTGGGATGGGCAGATGTGACGGGGAGTCTTTCTGGACAGCGTTACTCATCACTGCATCAGCTATC